CGCAAAGGAGAAGATGCAGAGGGAGGGGGACAGGCTGTCCCCGCCGCCTGCTGGCTGGGAGGACTCGGCTGAGTGGGTCCCTATCTTCTTCTTTTTTTTTTTCGCTCCCGGCGACAGCTGCGGGCCGGCGGGAGGCTCGGGTCGGCGGGGCGGGGCGGGGCGGCCTCCCCCTAGCGGCCGGCAGCGGAACTGCGGGCCGGGCCTGCCCTTTCCTGGTCCGGGGAACGAAAGGGGCCTTGAATTCCTTCCTTCTCTCCCTGCTAGCTTTGGTCCCTCTCGCCTCCTCCTCCTCCTCCTCTTCTCGTCCCAACTCCCTCATCCACGCACTGCTTGTTGGCTCAACACCTCCCGGAGGCTTGCGGCTGCAAGTGGAGTTCGGTGACCGCCAAGGTCCTCGGCCCTGCCCCTCACTCACCCTTCTGTCTGCACAGGCTGCAGTCCAAGTTCATGTCTCCCTCAAGGGCGCGGGCGTGCTGTGGCGCTCTTCCCCTGGGCTCTCTTGTCATTCACCTGCAAACTCCCCCACTTGGGAACTGCAGGTCAAAAAAGAGTTAAAAGCCCCTTCAACCAATCAGAAGGCCTGGATCTGACTCGCACGCTCAAACTACTGAAAGCCCCCAAGCCCCCAGTAATCACAAAACCAACCATTTATCACATCGAATGAGATGATTGGGAGGCTTTTAAAATTTTATTTACTTTTGTAGAAATGGGAGCTCACTGTGTTGCCCAGGCTGGTCTCAAACTCCTGGCCTCAAGTGAACCTCCCACACCGGCCTCCCAAAGTGCTGGGATCACAGGTGTGAGCCACCATGCCCTGGCCATGATTGGAAATTTGAAAAATTATCAGCTATTTGGTGATATTAAGAAATTATTTAAGGTATGAGAATGAACCAAGTAGTAGGAAAAAAAATAATAAAACAGAAAAAAATATTTAAAAATTTTAAAAATTAAAAATTAAAAAAAAGAAATTATTATGATTTTAGGTGTGATAATGGTATCATGATTACATTTTTTAAAAAAATTAGCATCAATGAGGGTTTACAGAAAATAAAATTAGCCCGCTTTATTTTTTTTGAAGCAGAGTCTCACTTTTGTTGCCCAGGCTAGAGTGAGTGCCGTGGCGTCAGCCTAGCTCACAGCAACCTCAATCTCCTGGGCTCAGGCGATCCTCCTGCCTCAGCCTCCTGAGTAGCTGGGACTACAGGCACGCGCCATCATGCCTGGCTAATTTTTCCTATATATATTAGTTGGCCAATTAATTTCTTTCTATTTATAGTAGAGACAGGGGTCTTGTTCTTGCTCAGGCTGGTTTCGAACTCCTGACCTTGAGCAATCCGCCTGCCTCGGCCTCCCAGAGTGCTAGGGTTACAGAGCCACCGTGCCGGCAGCCCACTTTAAATATAGAATTCAATGAGTTTGGACAAATAGATACAGTCATGAAACCCTGTGGCTAAATTAAAGAAAAAGAGTTCTTTGTCTTTAGAGATAGATACATTCTGAAATATTTATAGAGGAGATAAAATAGTAGGAAAATACAGTGATAATAAATGGGAAGAATTGGGGACCAATTCTTCCCATTTCAGGAAGGGACAGAAGGCACTGATACAGCTAAAGCTGAGCGATTCTCTGTCCTCTCACTGTGCTGCCGTTTGCTTTAACAGAAGTTTTTGCAAGTTTCTCTGCTGAGAGACATCTTCCCCGACTGCGCCTGCTAAAATAACATCCCTCCCAAGTCACTCCTATTTGAACTTCTGTGGTCTGTCCCCCCAGCGGGAATGTGGGCTCTGGCCGAGTGGGAGCCTCTTCTGACCTGTGGTCCTAGGTCCCCACCCCTGGACCCACCCGGCACATAGTAGGTGCTCAAGAAGCGTTTCTCTGAACGAATCAATGAGTGACGAGTGAATGAATCTCCCCCACACTCTCATTCATTCCTCATCACGTGTGGGTCACACTCGACACTCCCAGCACTGTGGGCAGCCGCCGTTGTGACAGAGCGAAAGGGCCCCCGGTCCCAACCTCTTTGTCCAGATGGGGAAACTGAGGCTCGGAGAGGACCAGATGCTTGCCGGGAGTCTCTCAGCTTGGCAGCCGGATGGGGTTCAGGACACCCAAGCCCAGGGGCTTCTCTGCCTCGCCCTCCCCCGTCCTGGCTAAGGGGACTCTCGACTGGAGGTGGCTGGGCCGTGACTTCTGTGCGCTCCTGCAGGCTGTCGCTTGGGTGCGGGCATGGAGAGCTCTGTGGCGGATCGTGCCCAGGGCGGCCCCTTCCACACGGTCACCCCCACGCTGGAGAGCTGGGCGCTGTCCCAGGTGGCGGGCGTGACTGTCTTCCTCAAGTGCGAGAACATGCAGCCGACCGGCTCCTTCAAGATCCGGGGCATCGGGCATTTCTGCCAGGAGGTGAGGGTGTGCGGGCGGGGGGAGCGGTGAGGTCGTGCGGGGCGGGCGGAGGGTGTTCGGGCAGGAGGGGAGACGTGAACTTGAGCAGATGAGTGGAGACAGGTGAGGGCAGGAGGAGGGGTGGAGTGTTGGGAGTGGGATGGGGACATTCTGACATCAGGTCTCTGTGACACCCGCTCACTTCTCTTCCCAGATGGCCAAGAAGGGATGCAGACACCTGGTGTGCGCCTCAGGTGACCCCGCCATTTCCCGTTTCATGGGGGTCCTCGGGGCAGGGGCCGGGGGAGGAGGAGCAGGCTGGAGCAGCAGTGGTTGTCCAGGGATTGATTGGCCTTCTCTTAAAGGTCCAGCCTCACCAAGGTCACAGATGAGATGGCCACCACACATGTCCTCTCCTAGCCTTCTTCCCATAATTTAGGGCTCATGGTGGGAGCAAGTGATAGAAACTCAGTTCATGCCGGTTTAAGCCACAGGTTCTAAGAACTGAAAATCTCAGGATAAGTGGCTTTCAGGAACAGCTGGATCCAGGAGCTCTCCTCTCTATTGCTTCTTCTCTTGGCTTTTCTTTCCTCTAGATTAGCTTTATATTCATAGAGGCCTTATGATAGCGAGGTGGCCACCAGGAGTTTCAGGCTTGCAACCTACCACTCGGCCAGCCCGAGTGAAAAGGGAGCTCCCTTCGCAATGGCTCTCACCAGTCCTGGAACTGGTCGTTTTTTGGCTCAGCTTGGGTCACGTACTCACCCCTGAACCTGTCATGGGTCAGGGGCTTGAGTCCTCTGATAGGCTCTATTTAAACTGTCTGTTCACTTCTGGAGCTAGAAGGAGGAGTCAGTGGTGGTGGTGGGGGCGTATGAATGGGGCGGGGGAGGGGTAGCGAATCCCAAAGGGAAGTGGAGGGGGAGGGGGTGCATCACCCGGCAAACGCATCTCTGCCCACCGCACCCCTTCCACTCCCACAGGGGGCAACGCGGGCGTCGCTGCTGCATACGCGGCTCGGAAGCTGGGCATCCCTGCCACCATCGTGCTCCCCGAGAGCACCCCCCTGCAGGTGGTGCGGCGGCTGCAGGGGGAGAGGGCCGAGGTCCAGCTGTTTGGGAAGGTGAGGACCCCCTGGAGGGGGCTGTGCCCGCTCCACCCCACCCCACCCCCAAGAGATTCTGTCCCCCCTTTTTCTTTTGACGAACTATGGCTGGAACCCAGTTTTCTCAGGGGACGGCTGAGCTGAGGGGCGGGTGTGAGGAGTGGCGCGTCCCGAGGGCTGGGACTTTATGTCTCCCAATTGTTTCACTCAAGATAGCGACCTCCGGTTCAGCGCGTGACTTCATTGTTTTTCCCACGGCTGAATAAGTCCCATTGTGTGTCCCTGACGCGGCTGGATTTCCACTCTGCCTCTTTGGGGGCAGTGAAGGGGGCTGTGCAGGAGGGAGGCAGCCGGGGACCTCCAGGTGACACATGTCAAGGACTGCGCAGTTTCGAGTCTCATGTTTGTTCCAGTAACTCCGGAGCATGAGGCTCCTCTCTCCATCTGGACGGGGCGTTCTTTGTGGGCAGAGACCATTTCTCTGGCTTCTCTCCTGCCCCGCAGTCCCCGGCGCAGGACTGGGCTCTGCAGGGTCCCCAGGACGGGCAGAGGCTATTTCTGGCTCCCTGGGGACGCTTGTGTCCCCCTTGGAGGAGGAGGCTCCCGCCGAGACGGGCTGGGGTGGGCTCCCTGGGCAATGCTGTCTTGTTTCAGCTGACCGGGAGGCGACTGCAGGCAGCCGGGCAGGAGTGTGGCCATGAGGCAGGGCGGGGGAGAAAGCCCTTAGACAGGGCGCGAGTGGCCGGGCCACCTCTGTGGGCAACCAGGCTCAGTTCCCGCTGTGGTGTCCGCTCCTTGCCACCTGTGGGCAAAGTCGCGTGGCCAGTGAGTGCCCTGCAAGTGACCCCTGGGCAGGCTGCAGGGGCACGGGCCTCTGCCGCAGATGCCAGGCCAGTGACAGCAGGAAAGCCACCCCTGCTGTGGTCGGCGTGGGCCCGCCGTGTTCGGGGCCTGCCTAAGTGCCACCTGTCTGGCTGCCCACAGGCAGCCGGCAGGGCCTCCGCTGGCCGGGCCTGGTTTGCACAGACTCCGTCTATAGTGACCGAGTGGCTGTCTGGGGCTTGGTCTGAGGGGGCTGGTCCCCTGCTGGTTGGTTCGTGGTGGACACCATGCGGCTGGCCTTGGAGATCACCTGCTCCTGCCCCCTCCCCCCGCCTCCCTCCCCTACCCCCGCTGGCCTGGCTTCGTTCTCCTGCAGCGTGGTGCTGGGAGGGTCCCTTCAGGGCGATGGGAAGCGCGTGGCATTCGTTTGTGCACCCAGTGCCTCTGTCGTCGTCTCAGGAGGCCGCTGGGCCCACTCCAGGTCTGGGCTCGTCCTCGGGGTCCCCAGCCTGCCGGCCCCCAGGCCCTGCCCAGCCCCCGTGGCACTCCCGGTCTTCTGAGCAGCCGTGGTCTCTCTTTAGGTCTGGGACCAGGCCAATCTGAGGGCGCAAGAGTTGGCCAAGAGAGACAGCTGGGTGAACGTCTCCCCGTTCGACCACCCCTTGATATGGTAAGGTGGGTGTCCCCTCCTAGGAAGTGCAGAGCTGGGGGCCTTCCCACTGGACAGAAGGGAAACTGAGGCCCAGGGAGAGAAGAGGCTTCAAAGCCAGACCGGCACGGGTTCAGACTCTGCTTCTGCCACTTACGAGCTGCGGGACTTTGTGCACAGCGCCTCGCCACCCTGCCTTAGTTTCTACACGTGGGGGACGAAGGTGACAGCACGAAGTCCCTTTGAGCATGTGCTTGGGGGCCGGGCGCCAGGCAGAGGCTCTCCCTGCGCCGTTCTGTGTGCCCGCCCACAGCCCGCAGGCGATGCCGTGGCGCCATCCTGGGGGTGAGGACGCTGAGGCACAGGGGGGTCAGTGGCCAACTCAGTGGCAGACACAGGGTCCCGGTCCCCGAACTTGAGTGGGGCTGACTCCGAGGATACGCTGGTCCCTGCCTGGCACTGCTGCTGCCTGTTTCTGAAGTTGGGGGGATTAACGGGGACAATGTCCAAGGAAGCGCCTGGGAGGGGGACGGGGCGGGAAGAATGACGGATAATGGACACCCCCACCCCTGTGATCCCCCCCAACCCCGGGGGCCTTTGGGGCCACGGCCTCTCTCACTCTTCTCCCCCCCAGGGAAGGCCACGCCAGCCTGGTGCGGGAGCTGAAGGCAGCCCTGGGGACCCCGCCGGGCGCCCTGGTGCTGGCGGTGGGGGGCGGCGGGCTCCTGGCGGGCGTGGTGGCCGGCCTGGTGGAGGTGGGCTGGCAGCACGTGCCCATCATCGCCATGGAGACCCGCGGGGCGCACAGCTTCAACGCGGCCGTCAAGGCGGGCAGGCTGGTGACGTTGCCGGACATCACCAGGTGGGCGCGGGCTGGGGACACTCGTCAGGGGCTGGGGGTGGGGGTCGCTGCCCTAGGGCCCCCAGTCCCAGCAGCGGGGGCAGGGTACCCAGAAGGCTCTGCTTGGCCCCAGGACTCCAACCACGGTGACGTGGATCTCGGTCAGGAGGGACGCTGAAGAGCAGCGAAGAGGGGACTCGGTTCAACCTCATCGATGACTGAGACAGGGCTTCGTTGCAAGAGCAACGTAGGGGTGTTGCAGACAGGTTAGAAGGTGTAGACAAGCCACGAGCAACAGAAAACAGAACGGCACCGTCATCCCACCGTCCGAGATCAGCACTGCTCAGACTGAGCTGCCCTTTTCTGTCTTTTCCTTTGAGACTGGTTATTGCTCTGTCACCCTGGGTAGAGAGCAGTGGCGTCATCGTAGCTCACTGCAGCCTCGAACTGCCAGGCTCAAGTGACCCTCCTGTCTCAGCCTCCCAAGTAGCTGGGACGACAGGCATGCGCCACCACACCCAGCCACCTTTTCTGTTTTTGGTACCGACGGGGTCTCGCTCTTGCCTAGGCTGGTCTCGAACTCCTGAGCTCAAGCGATCCTCCCGCCTCAGCCTCCCAGAGTGCTGGGATTGCAGGCGTGAGCCACCGCGCCCGGCTAGAATAGCCTGTTAAGTCAGCTTTCTTAAGCACCTACTGTGTGCAATGTTCTAGGGGGCCAGATTAGCAAAACGAAACTCAGTGCATGCCTCAGTAGAACTATACCTGACACCTGAGTCTCTTCCTGTCTTTCTGGCACAATGTCCCCGCTTTCCTGGCCGACTCCCGCCCGCCCGTGTTCCGTGCTGCTTTTGCCCGAGAATCCTGAGTCTTAGCTCGTTCTGTCCTCGCCGCCTGGGGTGCCACCCCGCTCGCCCCGAGGAAGCCCGCTGAGGCCCCGCTGAGCAGTGGCGTCTCATCTGGGAGACCCTCAGGGCACCGCGTGTGTGTCTGTGTCACTCTTCAGCCACAGAAGAGATTCCGGGTGTGCCTTTAGGGTTACTGGCTGGGGCGGAGGAGCCGGAGGGCAGGGACTGGCTCGTTGAGCTCTGAGCCCACGGCACCCGTCCCAGGAGCCTGGCACGGCAGAAGCTCTTCCTGAAGTCCATGGACTTGCCATTGCTGTGAGTGACCCCTAGGGTCACTGGGCTGGACAGCTGGGGTCGCCTGGGCTCCCCCTTGCCCCCGTTGAGTTCTGTCCCTCCAGCCCCTCTCCCACTCCCAGAGCATCACCCCCCCCCAGGTGGGTATAAGAACTCCCCCAACCCCATGCCAGCCCTGCTGCCTATTTTTTTTTTTATAGCATCTTCATTGAGATAGAGTTCACATACGGTACCATTACCCATGGAAAGTGCATGGCGGTGTTAGTATATCCACAGAGCTGTGCAATTAATTTTAGACCATGTTCACCACCCCCCAAAAGAAACCACACACCCTTGGCCATCACCCCCCGGTCTGCCGCCCACACCCACCCCCGGCGCCCAGCCCCGGCCGTCGCTGCCCCACGCTCCGTCCCCACGGGTTGCCGTCCCGGACGTTTCCTAGGACGAGCCCTGCAACTCGCGGCCTTGGACGCCTGGCATCTTTCTCTCGGCGTCATGTTTGCAAGGTCCATCCGTGATGTCACGTGGTCAGGGCCCTTCCGCTGTGCGGGGGGGGAGGGGGGGACATGCTTGGTCTGTCCCTCCACCAGCTGGTGACCGTTCAGACCCTTCCCATGTTGGGCGATTCTGACGGCGCTCGCGTGCGCGTTTCTGCGCGGATGTGGGCTCTCCTTTCTCTCGGACGCCCAACTGCGACGGCGTCGCCAGGGGCCTGTGACCTGTGAGCCCGTTACCGTCCCCCAGGCATCCAGCTCGTCCCTTCTCTGCCGCTGGCCTGCAGGGCTCTGCGTTCCGCGCTGAAGCCCCTCCCTGCCTCCCCCGGGCTCTCAGGCTAAAATCCGTTCCACGTCCCCAGCCCCTGCCTCCGGCCGCCTTTACCGGCCCAGTCCTGGCCCACGCGGAGCCCCTGCTGGGCTGTTCCCGCTGCCTGCGACACTCCCTGTCCCTGCTCTTCTGCCGGCCCGTGTCTCCTCCTCACTCGCGGCTCAGGTCCCCGTCCTCACGCCCCGTCGCCAGCTCCCCGCAGCGGGCATTGATTTACTCGCGCTTGTGTTTGCTCACTCGTCGCTGCCTCGCCAGCTGTCTGCCCTCTTAATAACCTCGGCGGCAATAATAATAACCACGACTGACACTTCTGTAGAGCTCGCTACCTGTCAGGGCTCTGTCCTAAGCACTGTCCATGTTTTTAACTCACTTAGTCGCTATGACAACCTCACGAGCCCCATTTTTCAGATGATGAGACTGGGGCTCAGAGAGTTGAAGTGACTTTCCCAAGGCCACACAGCGATCGCCGAGCCAAGTTTTGAAACCAGGCAGCCTGGCTCCAGCGTCTGCGCTCTGGCCCTTGCGGGGGTCACGGGCTCTCCCCAAGGCTGTCCTGGGCCTGAATCACACCCCCCCCAGCTCACAGCAGGTGCCAACAGGTGGCCGATGCCAAACACATCATGCAGTCTGCTGTCAGACCGCCTGGATTTGAATCTACCTTCTGTTACCGACTAGCTGTGTGTCCTTGAGCTTGTTACTTAACCTCTCTGAGCTCTGGTCCCCTCCTCTGTAAAATGGAGCCAGTCCATTTCTAACTCAAAGGGCGGCTGAGAGGATGAAAACAGAAAACCCATATATCCAGCACGCTGCACACGTTTCATAGATATTAGCTGCAGTGTAGATATGACAGCTATTCATGAATAAAACCGGTGCTTGGCTTCCTGGGGTCTGTGTGAGAAGTGGCTCCATTGAGGCTGTAGATCGCAGGGCCCGATGCATTCGGATCAGACCCGAGTTGCCGCGCCTCGCTGAGCCCCTGCGCCCCCGTCCCGCAGCGTGGCCAAGTGCCTGGGTGCCAAGACGGTGGCCGCGCGGGCCCTGGAGTGCACACAGGAGTGCCGGATCCTCTCCGAGGTGGTGGAGGACGCCGAGGCCGTGAGTGCCGTGCAGCGGTTCCTGGGTGAGTGAGCGCTGCCCCCTCCTGGGCTCGGGGACCCACGGAGCCCCCGGAGCCCCACGGAGCCCCCGGAGCCCCTAGCAAGAGCGTGCGCCCTCTTGTCCGCGTGCTCAGCACCTAGCGCGGGGCTGAAAGTGCACTGATTGCACGACAGGTGCAAGTGGAGTAGGGGAAGCGGGCGAGGGTGAGGAAGGAGCGTGGCCTGCTGTCTCCAGCCCCAGACTTTTGTCCATGCTGCTCCCCTCTCTGGCCGCCCAGCCCTGGCCCTGTTCTCTGTGGGTTTCCTGCAACCACACAGCCATCGTGCCACCTCCTCCAGGAAGCCTCCCCTGGTCACCTGCCCTCCCCCTGCCTGGGCTGGGGCCTTCCTATGCACCAGGCCCTCTGTTCCTACCTGCCCGGTTCTTATCCATCCGTGCCACTAGATGGTGAGCTCGGTGAGGGTGGGGACTGGTGTGTCCTTTTCACAGTTGTGTCCCCAGGCCTTTCTGGCACAGGGGCTGGCAGGGAGTGGGCACTCCCCAAATATTTGTTGACTGGATGGATGACTGTATGAGCGGGCAGAAAGGTGGATGATGAATGGAGGGATAGTGGATGGATGGACGGATGGATTGCTGAATGACATAGAAATGGATGGATGGATGGATGGACACGTTGATTAATGGACATGCTGATGGATGGACAGACAGACAAGTGATGGATAGGGGATGGATGGATGGCTTACGGGTGGATGGATGGATACGTTGATTGATGGATACACTGGGGGGTGGACGGACAGACAGCCTAATGATGGATAGAGGGATGGATGGATGGATGGACAGATAAGAGGTGGATGGCGAGGGATGGATGGTCAGGTTGATGGATGGGGAGAGAGCCCGGCCAGTGACGGATTGCGAGAGGAAGAGGGGAGCGGCTGGCTGGGGAGACGGCGGCGTGGGCCTGCCGTGCCCAGGGCCTGCTGAGCGCTGATGGGCTGTTTTCTCCCTTCCCCCCTGTCCCCGTCCCCCTGATCCGGGCAGATGACGAGCGTATGCTGGTCCAGCCTGCTTGCGGGGCGGCCTTGGCAGCCGTCTACTCGGGCCTCCTGGGGAGGCTCCAGGCCGAGGGCCACCTGCAGCCCGGGCTGACGTCAGTTGTGGTCATCGTGTGCGGAGGCAGCGGCATCGACAGCCGGGGGCTGCAGGCTCTGAAGACGCAGCTGGGCCTTCCCTGAGCGGCCGCGGCCCGCGGACACCCCCGTGGCCCGAGTTGGGGGGCCTCTGTGCCGCCCGCTTCCTGCAGGAAGCCCTCCCGAACTGCTCCAATAAACCCGTTCTGAGTTGAGTTTGTAACCCTGCGGGCCTTGTCTTCCGCCTCCATGACCCCACAGAAGGCAGAGAACCGTCCTGGAGCCGGGTACGTGACAGTGACTCCAAGTCGCACAGCTCGGGCAGCAAAGCCAAGGCTTGGGCACTCACGTCTCTGAAGGAATCCAGCGACACTGAGCATCTAAACGGGCTGTTCTTACCTGGAGGGGCAGCTCGGGTGACCAGGTCGGGAAGGAGAGGGGAGGTTCTGTCACCTCTCAGGCCTGGGCGGGAGAGGACAATGTCCCCAGTCTTTATCAAGTGCCCATTACATGCCAGAAACTCTGCTAAGAACTTTCTACTCTTCTTCTTTAATTTCTTTTCTTTTTTTTTTTAGAGACAGGGTCTCACTCTGTCACCCATGCTGGAGTGCAGTGTCGTTGTAGCTCAGTGCAGCCTGGACCTCCTGGGCTCAAGCGATCTTCCCACGTCAGCCCCTGCGTCCTGGAACTACAGGCACGTACACCACCAAGCCTGGATGGTTTTTTGGTTTTTTTTTTTTTTTTTTGAGGAAGTCTCACTCTGTTGCCCGGGCTAGAGTGCCGTGGCGTCAGCCTAGCTCACAGCAACCTCAAACTCCTGGGCTCAAGCAATCCTTCTGCCTCAGCCTCCCAAGTAGCTGGGACTACAAGCATGCACCACCATGCCTGGCTAATGTTTTGTTTCTATTTTTAGTTGCCTGGCTAATTTTTACATTTTTTGTAGAGATGGGATCTCACTATGTTGCCCAGGCTGGTCTCAAACTCCTAGCTTCAAGCGATCCTCCTACCTTGGCCTCCCAAAGGGTGGGATTACAGGCCAGCCCTGTCCTATTTAATGTTTACAAAGACAATAGGAAGTAGAAATCTTTATTATCATCCCTGTTTTACAGATGGGGAAACTGAGGCACAGGAAGCTTACATAACTCAGCTAAGGTCACAGAGCTGGGATGTGGCCCATCTGGGTTCAGACTCTGATTTTCAGTGTCACTCCATATTGGACATGAACTCTCCGTGGGGAGGTGGGTCGCGGTGGGATATTGGGGAAGGGCTTAAGACCCCGCCCCCCAGGTTGGTCTGGACGCACCTGTGGCTGGCAGGGAGAGGCAGGTACGGGGCCCGGGGACAGGGAAGCATCTCTCAGGAAACGGGATGGGAAACTAGACTCCGTCGGCGCCACTAGGGGGCAGCAAAGCGCGTCCTATGGGGAAGGCGGCTCCGGGCGGGAGACGCGGCCTTGTGGGTCCCGCGACTCTGCCCCTGGGGTCCTCGCCCAGCGGGTGGGGGGTGCCGAGGTCCACCTGGCCTTGGCATGGAGGGCGTTTTCCAAACCCTCCCAGCCCTGCCAGGAGACAAAGCTCAGAGAGCGCAGGGTCCACCCTGCAGCATGGTCCCTGGCAGAGCCCAGCCCCCCGCCCCCTCCGAGGCCCCCTCTCCCACTTTGCTGTGTGATCTCGGGCAAGTTCCCGCCCCTCTCTGGGCCTTGGGCTGCACCTCAGTGCTGTACGAGGCCCACCTGCCCCTTCCCGCCTGCGCCCCTTTGCCCGGGCTCTGCCCCCTGCCAGGCGGCCCTCGTTTTCTCAAGAGCAGGATGGGACAGCGGCAGAGACCTCCCTCTGCCACCCCGCTGCCTGCCTCGGTCTCCTTCCGACTCTCTTAGCCCAGACACAGCCCTCGATGGCCGGGGACCGCCTCCCGCTCCGCAGCCCCCGGGAGCCAGCCCTGTTTTCCTGGAGTCACACCTGGAGAATTCCCCAGAATAGAGGAGACGGTTCGAGCCCCAGAGCCGGGCCAGGCAGGCCCGAGCCCGAGCGCCGCTCCTGACCAACCTGGTGGCTTCCAGCAAAGGACGCACCCTCTCAGCGCCTTGGTGTTCTCATCTGCGAAATGGGTTGTTTGGGGGTTGTTGCTATGGACGCCCCCTTTGTTCTTTCTGCCTCCTGGACATCCCGCCACCAGCAGTGAGGGCTGGGGAGGCACTAGAATTTTTTGTTTGTTTGTTTTTTGAGACGGGGTCTTGCTCTGTCGCCCAGGCTGGAGTGCAGTGGCTTCATCATGGCTCACTGCAGCCTTGAACTCCTGGGCTCAAGCGAGCCTCCCACCTCAGCCTCCCAAAGTGCTGAGATTACAGGCGTGAGCCACTGCGCCCAGGTGGAACTAGAATCCGTTCGTGTGTTGAGCACCTGCGGTGTGCTGTAGGCTCTGGCAATGGTTTCATTTCATCCCACAATAACCAATATGGTAGACACTATGATCCCCATTTTGCAAATGGGGAAACTGAGGCACAGAGTAGTTGAACCACTCAGTCCAGGTCACCCAGCTGTACAGAAACCCCAATGTGTACAAACCTGAGGCCCATGCATCTCCCCGCTACTGCTCCCGCCCCTTCTCTCCTTTGCCCAAGCTGTGCCCACCACTGTGCTTCTGAACCCTACACGTGCCTCAAAGCCCAATGCGAGAGCTGCCTCCTCCAGGAAGCCTCCCCGGACTGCTTCAGCCAGCGACAGAGTTCCCCCAGCGTGTGCTCCTGTGGTGCGTGGCAGAGCCCGCCTCAGTTCCAGGTGCTCTGTCTCCCAGCCTGGCCTCTGCCCGCGGGGCCGCGCTGTCGCCTGGCCTCTGGGAGACGCACCAGGTGCTGTTTGCTCGTGTCTGGGTCTCCCGAGCTGGAGATAAGGAGCGGAGGGGGCTGTTGACCCTGTCCAGATAACACACGGCAATTCGCTCAGTTCAGCCCTTCCTGGTTGGCACCCCAGGAACGCTGGGAGCAGGCGGGCGGCGCAGGGGAAAGACCATGGGAAGGTGATCGACTGGGCTGGGCTGGGGCTGGAGTGACTGGATGTGGCAGGGATGGGCTCTAAGGACAGAGGCTCCTACGATCCTGCCTCTCCCTTCTTGGCCTCTCAGCTGGGGAAATGGGGAACCTCTGAGGAGGGTCCCGGGAGCAGGGGCCTCTCTGCGATTGTCCAGACTGCATAGAAAACACTGCAAACAGGGCCGCCAGGTGCGCGTACCTGCCTGGGATGTGCCCAGCCTCTTAGCCTGGCTGCAGGAGCTCTCCTGGGGCTGGTGGCTTTTGGTCCTCTGTGGCTTCTAGCGGCCGAGGCTCCTTCTGTCCCCTCCCTGGTCTGACCCTAACACCTCCAGGGTCCTCACCTGCAGCTGGGCCTCCTTTCTAGTTAAAGCCGGGGGACGGGGAGGTTTGGAGTCCAGCCTTTCACTGGCCAAGGAGGTGCTCTCACCCCGCAGGTGGCCCGAGGCCGGGCATGCCAGGGGTCCAAGCTCAGGCCGCTGCTGCTCCCGCTCCCCAGCCCGGGCAAGAGCAGGAGCCCAGCCCAGGGCAAAGCAAGCACCGCAGCGATGGCCGAGGCTGACTTTGTGTCCCAGCGCCTTTGGGCTGCTGTAACAAAACCCCATAAACGGGGTGGCTTACAAACAACAGAAATCTATTGTTCACAGCTCTGGAGGCCGGGAAGTCCAAGGCCAAGCTGCCAGCCGACTCCGTGTCTAGCGAGGATCCATTCCCTCATAAATGGCCATCTTTTCACTTTAACCTCACGTGGTGGAAGGGTCCTCCTTTCACAAGGGTGCCAGTCCCTTCTGGAAGGCTCTCTCTCCATAACCTAATCACCTCCCAAAGGCTCCACCTCCTACTAACATCACCTTGGGGATTAGGATTTGGACATATGAATTTTGGGGAGCACAAACATTTAGACCACAGCACTTTGCATCCCACGTTGGCTGTGTGTGGTTGTGTGTGCACCTTGCACTTTTATGCGAGTGCCCAGATGAGTGTACAAGTGCTTGTGCATGTGTGAGGGAATACTTACAATGTTTGGGAGCTATTTGATTTTTCCCCTTAGTGTGTAGCGCTTCATATTGTTGCATTTGGGACGTACGACGTCAAACTTAGATGTCTTAGTCTGGGGGACAGGCACTGAGGAGGGAAGCAAGCTGGAGAACTCACGCTCTGTGCAAAAGAGGTAGCCACTGCTCAGCTCCAGCCAGTGGTGGGCCAAGCACAACAGATCCCAGTTTCATAGTGTTCACGCAAATTCAAAGCCATAGGGGAAATGCTGTATGTTGTGTGTGCCCATGTATTCATATAAAGGCTCTGACAGGTCCTGCAGGAAAGTCACTTCCTGAATCCAGAGGAGGAGGAGCATGTGACTCCAGCCTGAGCCAATCTGCACATTGCATTTACCCCCTGGCCGTGGTGATTGGTTCAGGGATGGGCCCAGAAGTGAAGCTGTCTAATCGGAGTAGCTCTCAGGACTGGAGCTGGGAATGGGGAGGCCCCCATGGGCTGTTCATTTCTGCAAGACAATAAATTCCCTTTTAGGTGTAAACCTAGGCTTCCTGTCATTTGAGAGTAGAAGGAGCCCCACTGATGGCATACACGCTTAATACGTGTCTCTTGAATCGAATTGATTTGCTTTGAGCTGCTTGGATTGGAGTCGTATGTCAGGTTGGCCCTCAGCAAAATGAGGGCAATCCTCTCTTTGGATCCACTTTTTATTTTTGCTCCCAGGACCCTCAGAGTTCATGCTGCCTGCCCTTACAAGAAAGGCAAAGTAAAACTCGCTGTGATACTGCTGACAAGTGGGGTGGCAGTATTTTACGAAGATGGGAGGATGTTTTAAATCATATTGGGTGGAAGTGACCGGTGTAAATAATGGCGAGGGCTGGGGGAATGCAGAGAAACTGCCAACATTTAAACTTAAACCCCTCAGGAAGACAGTTTCCTAATTTTCCATCCACCTCAGGGGCTTAGAAAATTACCCTGGCTCTGAGCTTCCAGCCCGAGCTTCCCAGAGGCTTGGCAGGGCCGTTTGCTGGTGGTGAGGGCCACAGCAAAGTCCAGAGAGGGACAGCAGCTCACTCCGGGACACCTGGTGTGGGGCCGAGGATCTTCCCGCTGGCCTGGTAGGGTGCTGTGTGTGCATGAGGACATACAGCCCATTTATTGGGGACCTCAATGTCCAGCTCCTCCAGGGCTTTCTGGGTCAG